TCTACCATAAGTGGGATAAACGAACTTGGCCATTTTTCTTTATGACTTCATTTTGGGCGATAAATGCAAGATACTACTTAGATGCTATTAAAAAAGTTTCAATGATCTCGTCCAGAGTGAAACATTTTTTTAGTATCTACCAGAATATTATAAACAACACATCCACATTTATAATGGCATTTACTGCTTTTGCCTTTAATAAGCTCTTCTTATACCCAATTGTTGCCTAAGAGATTTTTTTTAAAATCAAAATCAACCCATGCTAGCCTGTATTTGAAAGAAAATAATCCAATCTAATTTTGTCATTTAATTTGTTGCAACATACCACCCACCAATTTATGTGCTTTCCACTTTGTGCATTTCCCCAAACTGAGACCGTGTCAACAAATGAATTTTGGCGCTGAGAACGTTTAAGTATATAAAAAATATTAGTTTGCAATGTATGTATGTTCACATGCTCGTTTAAAGGGATTTTTTCAATCGGATTTGTTTGAGTTTAGCTAAAAGTGATGTGAGCATATTGGTTCTCCCTTCGTTACAAGCGAAGCTATATTAAAAGCAGCATTCCCGCCAGATTATTTACGAACCATAATTTTTTATCGCTGCCTCCACATGCAAGTCTACAGTTCACATTTTTTCCGCTTGTATTTCTCCAATAGGAAAAGCTTAAAAATCGCATATTTTCGCTTTATGATGGTTTCAGTTGGAGTTCAAAGGAATATTGCGCATACATACACACACATATTTACATACATATGTGCAGGCATGCGTAGTTGTTGGTATTCATGTGGGCTGCAATGGCGTAGGGAGCACATCCAACAGGAATGTGGTGCGTTTGTTGATGCTTAGCTGGTTACCATTTTTGGAGTTGACAGTTGATGCCTTTCAACTGCGCGATTAGTTTTATTTCGAAGGGGAAGCAAAGGCTGGTTTTGACATATTTGGAAAATAAATCGCTTGTGTTGTCGTCAAATATTGTAGTCGTACAAACTTAAGTATATGTATGTATGAACACGTATGTATGTAGAATATGTGTCTCTCGTCGTGCAATGGAGAGTTCCTTGAATAAGCTTAATGAAATGCCAGTTAGTAAAATTATTAAACTTCGTTAAGTACACACATACATATGTGTATGTTTATATATGTATTTTAATGCTTAAAATATTATTGGTGAATGATTAACTGAGGATAAAATACATATATATAGGTATGTATGTACATATGCATACTCATATAGCGGCCACCAGAACCGTGTGATTAGAGGTCCCTATGTACTGCTATGCGGCAAAACTCAAGTCGGATTACTGGTCCGACCAACATCTAACAGGCTGTGGATAATATGCAAAGGCTATGCTTCTAGAACCTGACATCGGAAGATGAAAAATTAAAGTATTACAAAAATGATCTGCTTAGATAATTATGAGAAATGCCTAAAAAAGGAGCTCGGTATCAGCTAGCGCGTCACTTAAAAGGATGATATACCCTCTACGATGAGATCATAGAGGCAGGGTATAACTTTGAGTGACAAGCCGCATATTCGATAAGTTGCTTCAAAAATATAAATGAAGCTGATGAGTTTCTCCTTCTGCTTAAAATTGAATTAAATTAAAAAAATAAAAGTTTTGTAGTTTTTAATTTCGAAAAATTCGATTGCGGTCTTCCACCCACTTTCCTTAATCCGTTTGAACTTTCCAAAAGAGAAGTAAATGAGAAATGTAAATTACATAGATGAACAACTCATTTATTTTAAGAAGAAGTGGATGTCACATCTAAGCCGGGCATGAAAGTAAAAAACAAAAAAATGCCAAAATATAAATATATCTGAATACGTGCGCTCATCCTTTGTAGCTCTTCCAATATGCACTAAAAAAAATTTCACATGCATGACAAAGCCCTAAGTAAAGTGAGTGGTTTTTATTATCCCTACCAGCAGCTAAACTAATTAAATTTTCAACACCAATTTCCAGCCATCTTCCTTGGTCGCTTTCACAATTTTAACAAACACATTTCATAGAGCAGACAGAGTGCTTAATGTGAAAAACCCAAACGACAACTATTGTTTAAGGAGGAAAAATACACATGCATTCATAGGCATACACGTACACTAGCGGGCAGCTAATTAGACACAAGTGGTTTTACAAGTTTTGACAGTTCGATTTTTCTTAATTAGTGTTAATTTATTTGTTATTGAATCATAAATCATATAATTTAAAGTTTCAAGCCTTTAACAAGTTTTATAAAAATTTGCCAAATTTAAAAAAAAATCGTCATAAAACTTCAAACTTTTTAATCGGAATTAAAAAAAAAAATCGGGTATGCTATTCAATTTCAGTATAATTTTGTCCAATTTTAAAGTTACTAAATAATCTCGTTGATTTTTTAGAAATTTTTTTTTTTCGGACGATGTTTCGCATTTTCTTCCATACAATTTATGTTCGAAAATGTTTTTATGTTGGAGAAATTTCAGCAAAATAAGTCTAAAAATTAGGGAGATTTTTGAGCTAATTAAACCTTACACAGCATTATACTGAAACTGATAAAAATATATGGGTTTCGTTGAAGCTGAAATAAAGTTTCATACAAAAATGAATTAAAACTAATAAAGACAAAATAAATTGTCAAAACTTGTAAAGTCAAACTCTTTCTAATTAACTGTCCACTAGTGTATATACTGCATATCTGTGTCTATTAGGGTGGTCCAAAATAAGTAAAGTCGGAATTTTAATGCTCTCACCCCCAGGATTGTTCTATATTGAAAAAAACTTTACCCCTGTTTTTTTTGAAGTCGAAAAAATATTTAGAGGTCGCTTAAAGCGCTCAAAGTTTTCCATGCATATTATGTACATATATGGGGAAAAAGTATAGAAGTTTTGAAAATCAAAATTTTTCGATCGGAAAACTCTGGTTCTCTTCAGGAGACTCTCAATAACAATAGCCAACATGAAAATTCCGACTTTACATTTTCACATGCATTTTTGGATCACCCTAGTATTTATGCCTTCGTCTATTTGTACTTCATATCCATGCTGATGTATTAGTGTTGGCACAAGTGAAGTTATTTCTTTTGTGTCTAATATACACGTATTGCAAAAGGGTGTTTACTCAGTTGCTTGGAGTGCATAAATGTAGTTTTATGCCCACACACATATGTATGTATATATGTATGTTCCTAAGTTTATCTATGGGTGTACATACATATAAATGTATGTACTAATGTAGGCTTGCAACTTTCAATGTTTGTTAAGTGCTGCCCCATTGTTCGACACTCACATTTTAAATTAAGTTGGAGTGCTCTCCGAAGAGGACATTTTAGTAGCATTTTTAATTTTTCACCGTGCATGAGTGGTGATAAAATCTCACAATCCTACACATCTACAAACAATGGATAGATTTATGTTACGCTGCTACATACAAAAGCTCATCACCATATATACATATATACATACTTTGGAATTCCCTGGATGGCGCTAGTAAAGTTGCTAGTGTTAATGTGGGATCCACAGGAAGTTGTGGGCATGCAGGCATTGTCTACCAGCAGGCATCGGCAAGTTGCGGCTGTGCAAGTTTTGGTTTTTGTGTTGAATTTTTGAGCTATATTGACTCTAGTAGCTGTGTGTTTGAGCGCTTTAAACAGCGGCTGGCCTATGTAATGAAAAATAGAAGAAAAAAAATTAAAAACCAATTAAAAGTGGCTGCCATGTAGATTTTGGGTTGAAGATAGCTTACCCTTTGATAACTTATTTCTTTTGAATTCGATTTTCCGTGTTTGATTCCATTCCAAAAATAAAATTTTCTAAAAGAAAAGATGTTTTCGCGCAATCCTAGTCTTATTTCGATTGAGAAGTCTAAGAGCTTTCGTAGGTTTTCTGAGCCGATATTTTCAATATTTTAAAATTAATTTGATGATATTAAAGTAATGAGGTTTCTTTCCTAATAAATTTTTGTTAAAAAAAATATTTTCTCGCTTCATTAAAAATATTCATTTATTAAATAGCGTCTAGCAGATTTATGCATGTATGTATATACATACATATTGATATACTGTTATACCGTGCCACTGCTATTTTATTATACCGTAATCTAACGGTGTTTTGTGGTGCCTATTTGCTAGCCAATTTTTATTCGCTTCCCCCTTAGCGTTTGAATTATAAAAATCGATAGTGAGTAATTTGCGGTTGTAATATCTAATAGTGATTCACAGATTTCCCTGAACTGAGAGTTAAGTTTATAATAGCGAGAGTGAGAGAAGAAAGTACTCTAAACAGCGCACGATGATCGGCACCAACAGCCGGCTTAGGCACCCAAAGTAATGGGTATGTACATACTAAATATATACATACATAAACTATTAGTGTTATCGTCTGTTGTATGTTCGTTTATTTTGAACGGGGAACACGATTAAAATTGCATACTCATTACAACTAAATTTTTAATGCAATAGAACAACTGATCAGTTAAGCAACATGCAATCGGTGAGTAGCGTAAAGCTTTCCTAAGTGAGTTGCATATGCGATTTATAGTTAAATACATATCGTCGTTTAAAGTAAAAACCCGCGTATCGTGGTTCTGCAAAACCTCGTAACTGATATTTATGCAACAAATAAAAATATTTGCTCACCGGAAGCTCGTGGCTTCAAGCCTTTATCCATTCATACTAAATTATCGATACTTTGATATAAGAAGAAGGGCTAATTGGGATAAAAGAGAGAACCGTTTTGAAATAAGACAAGTTCTACTCTCTCCTATACAATTTAGGCAACCTCACATATGAGGTTTTGCATTTTCTTGATACGCGGTTATGTACTTAAAATGACGATTTGTATGCATATATGTACATACATGTAAACAAAACTCAATCACTGCGCTTGATTCGCTTCAGTACTAGAAATCAAGTGGCAGTGCTAGGCTGAGTCGTGAAAAGATTTAGCTGAACAATGTACATTTTTAATATTTTTAGTAAAAACAAAAAACAAAAAAAAAATAATAATTTCTATATAAAAATGGTAACTATACTTGACCTACCAGATGAATGTCTAACAAACATTTGCAAAAGATTGGATGATGACTTCCTGCGCTATTGTTGGGTGAATGTGTGTAAGAGGTTTCAATATATCTATTACGGTTATTTTCACAATTGGACCGAAGTGAATGATTATTTGGCACAAAATTTCGGTCATCAAATTGGCACCAATGACTTCCCAATGAAAATAGTGAAACGAATCAATCTATCAAAATTAAAGTGTTCGAAAAAATTCCTAAATAAATTACGTCTTGCTCACCCGGAGGTTGAAGAAGCTAAACTTTTTTCATTTACGGACGAATATATGGCTGAGCTTTTGCCGTTGCCAAATCTGAAGGTCCTAATATGCATTGGCACTTATGATCTGCGAGGTAATTCATTGACAATATTTTAATAAGAAAAAAAAAAAAAATAAATTTCAGCGTAAAAAATACTTTGTGAATCAATTTATTTTTGACAGAAAATAAGTTGATATGAAATGTATGCCGAATTTCTACTAGGTATCGATTTTACAACAAATTGTGCCAACTAGTGCTATGCGATTATTCGATTACCCGAGCTAGTTGATTAATCAGTTGTCCGGTGAATTCATTACCCGAGTAGCCAAGATTTTGGTTACTAGTAATCGAGTTACTTAAATCTAATAAAAAAAAATTCGGTTCTACATACATACATATGTACATAAATATCCTAATACATAATTGCTCCCTTAGGCAGAAGTTTAATAGACCTTTGTGGACTCACGGAACTACATATACATACCAACAAATCCATAGATGCGGAGAATGTACTTCAGGCAACCTATTACAATCCGCTGCGAGTGCTAGTAATTCCTAATGACCCAGGAGTATTTGCCGAAAGATATGCCTTTGAAATGGTCGATAATCTGAAGTACCTCGAGAAACTGGTGGTCGAGTATAATCACTGCAAATCTTGGCAATTGATTGGCACTTTACCCCGGCTGAAGAAACTTGAAATTTGGGACTTTGTAACGCATGGCTGTGCATTTTGCTGGACAAATCCAGACTCGTATCAAACATGTGCGCCCAACCACGATAAAATATTCTTTAATGAACTATGCAAGAAAGACCAATTGGAGGAGCTCATTTTCTGTGATGGTTGCCTAACAGAGTTTCACTTAACGGGAATATCTCAACTTAAGAGTTTGCGGATATTGAAGTTTTCGAGAGCTGCATTCATTGATGAAGTTTCATTGGATGTATTTGCAGATTTGGTCAATTTTGAAGAGTTACATATTGATAACGGTAAACGAATTCTTGCATATCAGTCATTGGAATTTTTTAGAAATTGCCAAAAATTAAAACGCGTTAATTTCTGGTATGCTGGCGGCATTAATGGCAACTTTATTTCAAAAGCAAATGACATCTTAGGTAAAAGGAAGCCACCACCAAGAGAACCGGTCACCTTTGGATTCCAGTTTTTAAACGCCAATTACCTAAGAGCGACTATTGAAGTGATTATTAATCTAGCTTATTGTAACTTATTTTTTTTATTGGTAACTACTGTTATTTCCAGGGACTGTACATTAGCACGCCAGTGTTTTATATAAGGATCACACATTTGCAAAGGAAATTTGTTGCTGCAGAAGAATCGTATCTGGAAACGGAAGAAGAAGCTGTTAGTCAATCGCCTTTGCAAGGGGAACTGCTGAAAAGGAAATTCTCAATGTGAGTATCAATAATCATATCTACATCAAATTACTTACATTGTACAAAATAATTTGATGTGTCTTATTCAATTTAGAATGAACATTGTCCCAGTGGAAACAGAAATCAAAATGGAATTTGTTGGTCAAGTCGAAAAAAGGCAAGATCCTGAGGGGCGCAGTGAAGGTGAAGAATAAGAACACTAAGGCACAGTATCCAGCTCTCAAATAAGAAACAAACAAAAATCCTATAAACACGGCCAAGAAAATTTACATCAACGACAAAGTACTTTTTCAAGCAACAATGAAAGGCATTTCTTATGAATTTTCTTCAATCAGTTTGCAACTCTCTGGAAGCCAAGTTTAAGGAGAACGAATTCCGCAAATTTATTCATAAAATACTTTAAAGAATTTACTATTAACAGAGACCGTTAATGAGTTTAAACAATGATGTGGTTCGACAGGAAAAAAAGCAGAATTAAAAAAAGACCTACGAAAAAACGATGTAGGTTAAAGCAAGTCATAATTTGGGAATATTCTATACCAAAACAAAAATTTATTATTTTAAAGTTTGTATGTCCGAAGTTGATAAGTATATAATTGAATTTCATAAATTTTTATATCTATGCATGTAAAATAAAAAAAAATGTGAAGTCGTAGGTGCTTAAATTGTGTGTATCATATTTTCCTACAGGTAAATATCGATAAATTTATTTAATAATTTTGAACCTGAAACCTCGAGAAAAATCCGCGAATATTAAACTTCGAAAATTCCGAAAAAATCCCGAAACATACCCCATTCTAAAAAATTCTAAAAAAGTCTCGAAAAATATTCTAAAAATAAAAGCAAAGTTTCCGTAAAATTAACAAACAGTTTCCAATTTTCCAAATTCTTCCGAAGATTCCGAAAAGAAAATCACAAAAAATCAAGAAAGCTTGAAAATATCCTGAACGTTCTCAAAAAAAGTAAACTACAAGTTGTTCCTAAAGTCCAGTAAATGTCTCGAAAAGTTCCTACAGCATACTAAAAAGCTCCCAAAAATAAACGAAGTAAACCGAAAAGTTTCGCAAGTTATCTTACGTTCTCAAATTTCCCGATATTCCGAATAATATAACACGAGCAATTCTGAAAAGCCGAAAATCCTCCCGAACTGTTCCGAAAACATAAATGCAATCGAAATTTGTTTCGAAACACTTTCAAAGCTCTCGGAGAATTAACCTAAAATTAAGAGACGGATTCAAAAATTTCAAAAGAATACTTCAAAGTTACCAAAAACTCCGAGAAGCCCGAATATATTCTAAACAACCCCGAGAAAAAAATTGTTAAAGCCTCGAAAAAAGCAAGAGATTTGTAAACAAGATTTAAAAGTTAGAAATAATTAAAAAACTTTTTGCTTCTCCTGTTCTCCGGTTCATTAATTTTTCCTTTTTGTAAACATTACCTAGTATTTTATTAATTAAGCTTTCCATGTCTTTGTCCACGCTGAAATTAGTTGAATTTTAGACGAGTTATTCGGGAAGTCGCTAAGGGGTCCTGCCTCGAATCTGATCATGTTAACGCAACTTTACGGCACTACTAGAATTCCGAAATCGAAGAATTGATTTTTTCGCTCGAGCGTTAATACATTGGATAATAGTTGAGAATTGTCCACTCTACATGAGCAAGTTAAAGATTAACAGCTTTTGTTATCAAATTCTGATTATTTTCGTAACCATCGTGTCTGAATTGTCCACCATTCAAATTGAATGGATTTCAAAATGTAAACGAGCTTTTCGCCATTATCACAGTGACGATTACACGATTGAAAGAGGCTGAGTGAGTGCACCAACTGTGTAGCGTCGTTATGTTAGGTGTTGGCCACGTAGCCAAAAGCGACAGGTAACTGAAGTGCAAACAAATTTAGAAAGCAATTTCCTGTTTTCGTAATCAAAATCAGCTAGTCAAATAATGGAAACATCCACAAGGTAGCAAGGTAGTTGGTGATGTGCTTGCAATCGATTTGAAAATACTCTATTCAAAATTAGTTCAATTTTCGGCTTTTTTGTGCAAAGTGATAGAGCAGAAGCGTAACAGTGAATTTTGATGTGAATGCATTTCAAAAGGTGCATACAAATTGGAAAGAGTTTGATTTTGTACTTTGTCGCCATGAAATTTAATAGTTTAGTTTTCTGGCAGTTTTCATTATCGAAAATAGTCACTCTCTGCCCTGCTACAGTTAGAGGAAGAGGTTAATAGACACACTATAAATCCATGAAGGGGGGCACAATAGATCTAAAGCAAGTAGTAATGGCATGTGGAAATAGAAAAATGCAATTTAACTTTTTGCGACAAGAAATGCGGAAGTTTTTGAAAAAGAACTAGATTTGCACTCATCGTGTGCAAGAATATTTTCCCTGTTACAATAGACAACGAACTTTGTGACATTGTTCAAGTTTACACATATCTTGCGGCATTTTCAACCCGTACAACGGTTACTGTGACAGCATTGAGTGCACAGACGACGACAAGTTGGGCACCCGGTGTTACATGGAGCACAGACAGAAATGTTTGCGTTTGCTTTAAAAGCAATTAAAAAAATGCTGTAAGCAAGCAAAGCAGACGATGACAATGAAATTATGTAAAAATACTTAAGTCAGTATGTAAGTATGTAAGCACTTACGTAGGCTAGGTTAGGTTGAGAGGGTGTGTACGTAAAGTTCCATACTTACATTTGGAGGCTTAATGGTCCATTGTGAATGCACTTTGTGAATGATGATGGCTAGATGGTGCCACATTGCTTAACTGGCATTCTTTTACAAAGCTAAAAACCAGAGTTATAAAGGCATTCACCTGCTGAACCGATTTCTAAACCAAATGAAATTTAGGAAATCAAAGTGTTACACCTCTGCTATATCCGTCGTAGTGGTGAAGAAGCGGAACACCAGAAAGTCTTCAACTTCGTTCTCATTTTCATTTAGCTGCTTCTACGGAGAAAAGTGCTTGCTGGAGCATTAGTGCTAGTGTAAATTCGTCTGCTTCTAGCTAAAACGTACTATTTATTACCACAACTTTTGTTCTATTCTCTATTATTTCTACCACTACTGCCCATTGGGTGGATGCCAGAACTTTCACTATAATGCACGTCAATTACTCTTTATAGTATCTTTAAGTTAAAGGATAAGAGGTAGGTATGAATTTGGCCCCTTACTCCTTTCAAGATTTCAGATAATGTACTTGTTATAGGAATTACTAAGTTTTTACACGAGGCACCACATCATCCGCGCAGTGTTAGGCCTCCCTAGTATTTCTCGGAGACTTGATGCCTCATTTGTGGTCTTAAAAAGATTCCCCTAAATTTCTAGCAGAATTCCTTTTCGCGTTTGGTCTTCTTGAATATCTTTCTTGGGAAGGCTTTAAAACAAATGTCAGTTATTACAATTTTATAAGTATATATGTATGTAGGTATATAATTTTGCTTATGAGATATCTTTTACAAGGCCAATCTTCTCAACTTTATCCTACCGCCTAAGCAAGGCCTTGTCAAGTAATCAAATATTTCGTCGACTGATGCTTTTAGCATTCTCATCTATATTCTATTTAAATAGTCTTGGAAAAGGTGCGTCTGTTTGAAATCATTTCCTTCCTACACTTTTTAATATGAAAACCTGCACAATTGGGTACATATGTATGTGTATATGTAGTATATAAAGTTATTTAACGTTTAACGAATTATAAAATTAGTACCAGCATTTTCAGTGGAGTACAGCTTGTAAAAAATTAAGGAGCAACAACAAAACTTGTTGTCATACTCCGCCATGACAAGCGTCAAACAAAAATCAAAGAACACAGAAATCCTTGCTATTGTCCTGCAGCAAATTTTTCTCTCAGCTAGTTGTCCCATCGCAATTTCCTGAGTTTTATCCCTCTAAAGACAAGCTATTTACCACCAGCTACACAACCAATTTGTTGTGCAACGACTAATAATGACATTGTAGGCGACAAAGTTGAAGCTAATATTTATTGCCTATAGTCGAAAAGAGTGCTCACCTTTTTTCCGCCCACCATGGCAGGCTGCGCTTCATTTTGTTAATGTTTTTGCTTTAAGTGTTTGTGCTTTGCGTTTATTTTTAGACCATCCAGTTTTCGCCTCGAGTATGACGCTTGTCCTAATTTCTTTGCCGTTAAGTATTATAGTGGATGCTTCAGGCATTTTTAACCATAATTGTGAAACAACAAAAGCAAGGAAATGAGTTGGAGAAGGTCGTTGGTGCTAGAAAGAGGCACTTGAAAAGCAGCTGAATGCAGACTGGAAGAATGATGTGATGAAAAGTAGAAATGAAGAAAGTAAGTGAAGTGAAGTGGCAACAGCGTTGCGGCGCATTGAATAGAAATGTTGCTCACTATGGCAAAGTGAGGCGAGTTGGAGGAGGTATTGAAGCGGTGATGGCAACAACAAAACAATGTGGAACACAAAAGTTGTGACCGTACGATATGACTATTAAAAAAATATAAAAAAAAATATATGCGAAAGGAGCGACGAGTGGAGAAAATACTAAAATTAGTTGGCATTTTACGTGCCGTATCTAACACCGCGTTGTACGTAACGTATGAGTAACATACGAGTAATCACCGACGTCAAATAAAACTCGGCTAAAGCACTTAATCAATGGAAGGCGCCAAATTAATTGAAGAAGTTTAATTGCGCGCAAACATTTTGTCGATTTTTAACACACGGATTAGGGCGGCGCTTGATTGGGGTGGCGTGCTGAAGGAGCTTTTCGGAAAATAAATGAGAGTGCAGCATGTCTCTAGCCAGCTACTGAAAATAATTCACTGTCGGCACAGAAGCGATTCGAACAAATGGTGACTTCAACCCAAAAGTCAAAGTGCTGTTACTTAATATGGCTGCCAATTAACTGGAAGCAAGGCAGCATAAATTTCATTACATTACCCGCTGTGTATTTTTGTGAGTGTCTGTATTTGCCGTATGTGGCACGAAAAATCCCACCATCAACTTCAATTAGCGTAACATATTTGAAAAATGAGAACTTAACAAAATTTATTAAAATTGATTTAAATTATGATTAAATTGTAAAATTTGTAAGCCAACTTGCTGACAATTCTGTTTAAAAACCCGAGCCATTAATTTATTCTGTAGCTTAATTTATAAGCTCAATATTAACGATTATAAATGAAAGAAAAACCCTCATTTAGTACA